TCTTGAGAATGCCTACAAAATTCTTTATCGATGGTATTATACACCTGCTTGTTTAGCTAGTTTCTTCCCTACATATTCCCCGGTTTGCTTTCGAGGATGCCAACAATTGGGTACCATGGCTCATATCTGGTGGACTTGCCCTAAAGTAAGCAGATTATGGATTAGGGTGTATGCCCTCCTTAGCACTATGCTTCACACAGACATTAAGCGTAACCCGTACGAAGTGCTTCTATTTAAACCAGCGGTTCTCAACCTGGGGTCGCTACCCCTTGGGGGTCGAACGACGCTTCCACAGAGGTCCGCCTAAGTCCATCGGAAAACACATATTTCCGATGGTCTTAGGAACCGAGACACCGCTCCTCGCCGCCGCCGTCTCCAGGTGTGGCGGGATGACATGCCGCCCCTGTCTTTCTGGACACACCTCGAGATCAATCCTCGCCTGTGATTGGCCGCCGGCCACTGTAGCTCAGGAGAGGCACACAGGCGGCCAATCACTGGCAAGGAGGTGGAGCTTGGAGAGGAGGAGCCGAGCGGCACCGCGAAGATCGAGCGAGTGAAGAGGAGGAGAGCGGCCGAGAAGGAAGACAGCTGAAAGGTAAGTGTCGGTACCATGGGAGAGGGAGGGAGCGAGCGAGCCCAGGCTGGAGCAGGGGTCTGCAAGGTAAGTATCATTGGTGTCAGTGGGAATAGTGCCCCATCATTGGTGTCACTAATACCAATAATGGGGCACTATTCCTCCCACTGACACCAAGGATGGGGCACAATTCCTCCCCCCACTGACACCAAGGATAGGGCACTATTCCTCCCCCCACTGACACCAAGGATGGGGCACTATTCCTCTCCCCACTGACACCGAGGATGGGGCACTATTCCTCTCCCCACTGACACCGAGGATGGGGCACTATTCCTCCCCCCCCACTGACACCGAGGATGGGGCACTATTCCTCCCCCACTGACACCGAGGATGGGGCACTATTCCTCCCCCCACTGACACCCGAGGATGGGGGCACTATTCCTCCCCCCACTGAACACCGAGATGGGGCACTATTCCTCCCCCCCCAACTGACACCGAGGATGGGGCACTATTCTCCCCCCACTGACACCGAGTGATGGGGCACTATTTTCCTCCCCCCCACTGACACCGAGGATGGGGCACTATCCTCCCCCCCCGCTGACACCGAGGACGGGGGGCACGGTATTCTCTCCCCCCCGCTGACACCGAGGACGGGGCACTATTCCTCCCCCCCCGCTGACACCGAGGACGGGGCACTATTCCTCCCCCCAGCTTGACACCTGTATTGCTACCGAGCTGATCAGTTGGGCACTATTCCCTCCCCCGCGACACCCTGACTATTCCTCCCTCTCCCGCTGACACCGATGACGGGCACTATTCCTCCCCCCCGCTGACCACCGAGGACGGGGCACTATTCCTCCCCCCCGCTGACACCGAGGACGGGGCACTATTTCCTCCCCCCCGCTGACACCGAGGACGGGGCACTATTCCTCCCCCCCCCGCTGACACACCGAGAGGACGGGGCCAACTATTCCTCCCCCCGCTGACACCGAGGACGGGGCACTATTCCTCCCCACCGCGGGGACTGACCGAGGACGGGGCACTATTCCCTCGCCCCCCCCTGCTGACACCCGGAGGACGGGGCACTATTCCTCCCCCCCCCCGCTGACAACCGAGGACGGGGGCACTATTCCTCCCCCCCGCTGACACCGAGGACGGGGCACTATTCCTCCCCCCCCGCTGTGACACCGAGGACGGGGCACTATTCCTCCCCCCGCTGACACCAGAGGACGGGGGCACTATTCCTCCCCCCCGCTGACACCGAGGACGGGGCACTATTCCTCCCCCCCCGCTGACACCGAGGACGGGGCACTATTCCCCCCCCCCGCTGACACCGAGGACGGGGCACTATTCCTCCCCCCCGCTGACACCGAGGACGGGGCACTATTCCTCCCCCCCGCTGACAACCGAGGACGGGGCACTATTCCTCCCCCCCGCTGACACCGAGGACGGGGCACTATTCCTCCCCCCGCTGACACCGAGGACGGGGCACTATATTCCTCCCCCCCGCTACGGGGACACCGAGGACGGGGCACTATTCCTCCCCCCCGCTGACACCGAGGACGGGGGGGCACTATTCCTCCCCCCCGCTGACACCGAGGACGGGGCACTATTTCCTCCCCCCCGCTGACACCGAGGCGGGCACTATTCCTCCCCCCGCTGCACCGAGGACGGGGCACTATTCCTCCCCCCCGCTGACACCGAGGACGGGGCACTATTCCTCCCCCCCCCGCTGACACCGAGGACGGGGCACTATTCCTCCCCCCCGCTGACACCGAGGACGGGGCACTATTCCTCCCCCCCGCTGACACCGAGGACGGGGCACTATTCCTCCCCCCCCGCTGACACCGAGGACGGGGCACTATTCCTCCCCCCCGCTGACACCGAGGACGGGGCACTATTCCTCCCCCCGCTGACACCGAGGACGGGGGCACTATTCCTCTCCCCCCGCTGACACCGAGGACGGGGCACTATTCCTCCCCCCCGCTGACAAAACCGAGGACGGGGCACTATCCTCCTCCCCCCCGCTGCGACACCGAGGACGGGGCACTATTCCTCCCCCCCCCCCCCCCGCTGACACCGAGGACGGGGCACTATTCCTCCCCCCCGCTGACACCGAGGACGGGGCACTATTCCTCCCCCCCGCTGACACCGAGGACGGGGCACTATTCCTCCCCCCCGCTGACACCGAACACCGAGGACGGGGGCACTATTCCTCCCCCCCGCTGACACCGAGGTCGACGGGGCACTATTCCTCCCCCCCGCTGACACCGAGGACGGGGCACTATTCCTCCCCCCCCGCTGACACCGAGGACGGGGCACTATTCCTCCCCCCCCCGCTGGACACCGAGGACGGGGCACTATTCCTCCCCCCGCTGACA